GTCTTTGGCGCTTGTCCTCCCCGTCGTTGCCTCCCTTCCCCTGCCGTCCCTGTCAGCAGCCTGGGTGTGTGCGTAGCTGTGAAAAGGTGCTAGCTAGCTTTTGGCTGAATTCACCCTGTTCTTGATTGTTTTTTCCCTTCGGCTCAAGCACACAGAGGACGGTACAGGTCACTCCTGTGCGTGTTTTGGAACTCAAATAGTTTGAAGCTCTGTCTTGGATTAGCAGATTTAACTGAGTTTATTGGCAAACTGCTATACAAGTTAGCTAAACCCTCGTTTCACGAAGTACTAATAAAATGCTCGGCATAAGAACGTGGTGCGGTTTATGGTGCCAACATTAATAGTTAAAGAAAATTTAGATTTGTGGTCATTATCTACTGACTTGATGGACCACAGGATTTAATTCTTTGACTGTAGTGTTTCAGTGTTCTTTTATTGTCCTCCCAGGGATTAGCTTAAGCTTGAAACATCGTTGCTTTGACTAGCTCGCTTCTGCAGGATGCCACACAAGATCGGTTTTATAGTTGTTAGTTCATCAGGACATGAAGATGGCTTCAGCGCAAAAGAGCTGATGGTTCACGCACCGACAGTGAATGGATGGCGATCACCCAGGTACTGCGAGCGGGAGGAATGTGCATAGCTCTGAAGCACTGAGTTTAAAATGAGTGGGAGGTGTACCATGCGTGGTCAGAGTAGTTTACAGCATCCCAGACCAAACTGATTATAAAAACAAAGAAGTTACCTTAATCTCATGGAATCCTTATCCTGGGAGAAAAAAGCGCCTTGGATACCACCTAAAGGCATCGGGTTGCATTTAAATAAAGCCCTTTAAAAGAAAAAAAGGGAACTATTTTTGGTTTTGTCAGTCGTCTTGGAGTTTGCAACTGCTTTGGCTTAGTATTAAAAATCCAGTCTTCTCAGCACATGCTCTAGATAGGTATGGGGCACTTTAACATACACATGCATGCGATAAAGTGAAGAGAAGAGTGTTTCTACTCTACTCTGGTTTCTTTTTACAATATTTGTAATGCTGAATTAAACTATAATAACTTTGGAAAGTTTCATAATTAGATGTTACTCAAGTTGGAAGTGAAGTCATCTTTAAAAAGATGATTCAGAAATTGTGTATGTTTTCAGACTCTGTCAGTATCCACAGGAAATTGTTCTGCAGTTGGTGGAGAGGTGTCGAATACGAAAACTGCAGTTGCTTGCTCACCAGTACATGATTTCAAGCAAAGTTGAGTTCTACATCAGTGAAAGCTTGCCTGAATACTTTGCTCCTTATCAGTCAGAGAGGTTTCACAGACTAGGGTAAGTCAAAAAGCTCTAAATGGTTTTATTACCTTAATCAGAAAGGCCTCAGGAGGAAGTAATATTCATTCTGCTTTGCACGCAGCATTGATACGCTGTGCTGCAAGCAGTAAAGAGATTCCGTACTTGCTTAGATCTGTAACAAAGCTGAAGACGTAGGTGTAAGAGGCATGACGCAGATGAACACTCTTGTCAGATGACAGCACACATTCTTTCAGTTATGATGGAGTTTTAAACCTTACCAAAGTACTAACCTGAGGAGCAAAAATACAGCTGTGTATTTGTATGTTTCCCCTGCTTACTTGTTACATTTTTCTTCTCAGTTACGTCCCTCTCTCGGACAATGAAAAGACTGATTTCAAAGCACGAGAGTTAAAATCTGTGTATATGGATGCAGTTGGCCAGTACCTGAAGCTGATTTTCCATAAAAATTATGTCAATAAATACAACTTATACGGTCAGGTAAGTTGAGTTGAGTCCTTACTTGGTAAGCTAGGTGAAGTTTCAGTCATACAGAACAGGCATAGAAATCTGCTCCCTTGATTTGCAGAAGCTAAAAATGTTGGTTGAAAGCTCCTGGGTTTATTTTTGGTTTCTTTTCAAACAGAAAGTACAAATAAGAGGTTATAAGTGACTTGGAATCATGACCAAGTGCATGCAACTTATCCAGAACAAACGAGTCAAGTGCATGGTCCATTACTGCCTTTCATTCTGAGTTTTAGACTGCACAGCAGGCTCTGTGCTGAAGACAAAGTACTTCCTCTGAGAACACCGTTGCAGTCGCTACAAAGCCACTCTTAGTCTTTAGGATCTGATGCGGCTTTAAGCGGAGGTGTTGTACAGCCATCCTGATACAGAAAAGACAAGTATCTGCCTCAATTCTGCAGTGACTCTCTTCCATCCCAGACCAGAAAAGGGAACAACTGATGACTGTGCAATGTGGTCTGTAGATTTGGTAATAAATTTTTAATGAAGCATGAAGTACATTTAGCACTTGGTGCTTCTCTTTGCTTCCATACCACCCTGGAGACCACAGGTCCTATTCTTTTTAATACGGTTTTTTGTTCCAATTTTTTTTGTTTCAATTTTCATAAGATATGGAAAAAGTAATGACCTTATGCATTTACATTTTCTTTAAATCTATCCCAGGTTGCCCTAGTAGCTATAAACATTATTGGAGATCCAGCAGACTACAGTAATGACAGCAATAATACTGTAAGTGCAAAGTATCCATGTCTTTTTACTGTTGCTACACTTGTTCAGTTACAGGGTTCTTGGGGTAATGGAATGCAGCTTTCTTCTGCTAGTTTTGTGCTGTAGCAGAGCTGCCATCTATTGATTTTTCTAATTTTTTTTTATGTTATCTTGAAGCAAGAGAGTTCTCAAAAATTGAGCTTAATTTGAGGATACAAAAAATAAAACATAATCAACTGGAACGTTTGCATTTTCAGCCTCTCCAAATCCTCATGTTTCAGTATGCCCCAAGACATAAGTATTGTAAGTTGCATAGTTTATGTTGATTGTGGCAAGTCAGAATTTCTGTCCTGAACACACACTTGATGTTGATGAACGTGCATTAAGATTTTCTTTTTCCTCCCCTATAAAGCCTTCCAGAGAGAAGCTGATAGACCACTACTTAGGAATTAAATCCGACGATCCTGCCTTAGATGGAACTTACCTTGGGTAAGGATGTTCTTTTGCATATACCCTGGCAAAACATCTACTCAGTCTAAAGTAGTTCTCAGTCTCTGTATTTTGTTAGGTCCCTGCTAGTGAAAAGAGAAGACGTATGCTCAGCCTGGTCTATTTTGGATTAGCGGAAAGTTTATTTTATTCATTTTATATCTTCAGGAAACCTGACTCCATTTCACCTCTGGATGATTTGGCTTTTGACATGTACCAGGATCCAGAAGTTGCTCAGATAATACGTAGACTGGATGAGAAGAAGCGCGAAGCTGTCCATCATGAACGCTACGATTACGCCAAGAAACTCAAACAAGCTATAGCAGACTTGCAAAAGGTGCTGTTGAAAGACTGTTTATCTCTTAAGCCGAACAGTGTTCCACTGGTCCATCAGGGACCCTAGCATACATGTGGAATCGTAATGATTTCCAGTATATTTTCAAAATAGTAATTTTAAAATTAGATAGCTTGATTTAATAACTTCACTGGAGATATTGAAATGTATACATCTGTACAGTAATGTGATTCCAAGCTAGCTTGTTTTACCATCTTCTAGGTAGGGGAACGACTTGGACGGTATGAGGTAGAGAAACGCTATGCTGTAGAGAAAGAGGATTATGATCTTGCAAAAAAGAAGAAACAGCAAATGGAAGCGTACCGCCTGAAGGTGTATCAACAACTGGAGCTCCACGACCTTCTGGATGCAGAGCTGATGGTGGGTACTGTTATTCCTGATTCGGGAGGCTTTATCATGTGGGTGTTGTAAATAGAAATGGCAGAGCAACCACAACAAATTCAGGGAATAAGAGTTGCTACACAGGTATTTTATGACAATTACATACGGATTTTAAGTTTTCTATTTGGATTGTGGATTTCCCTAACCAAAGACTTGCACATGGCATTTTATGAACATGCTTAGCGCTCCATAAATTACATTACATGAAACTGTTAAGGTCTCAAGCAAATGACCTTAGAATCCTGAATGTTCTGTATAATTTCAGGGCTACCCCATGCAGATTCATAAGGTACTTTCTCATATTTTGAAGGGGTATAACTGGCTTATGCTGGCATCATGGCTAACCATACAGAATTAATGTGGTAAAATACAGTTTTATATTATTCTTACAACAGGAAGCTTTACAACCTCTCCACACATGCATCCATGCAGAATTATTTTCCAATTGTTTCATAAAGCTGCATCCAGTGGAAGCGATTACACGTCTGTGAGTGAGGTCTGGTATTTACTTGAAAGCAGCAGAATCTTGTTGACTGTCAGAGTTGTAGCTGTATTAACTCTGATTTTAGTACATTGTCAGCCTTGCTTTACAAAATCTCCTTCCCTTTCTCAGATTCGAAAACCACCTGAATTGCCTTTGGAGTCTACAATTTATACTGACAATTCTCAGCGCACAAAAGCTACAAATTCACCTCCTTGTGAGCACACAGCACTGCAAAAAGGAGAGCCATGGAAAGCAGAGCCTTTGCTGGAAGAGAATTCAGCAGATCCCACTTCTGCTGAGCCCGTTGTGCCCCATCAGTCCCCTCTGCCTCCTGTGACTCATCCCACAACCTCCAGGGAAGTGTTTCCCAAAGAAAATGTGAGTAGTGCACCTCTGTTACTGCAGAAATCTATCACAGCAAATGATCTTGTGTTCAACCTTCCAAAACAACAAGGTCTTTTGTGGTTATTCTCATGGCTTATATAGTATCTGAAATTGACTGTATTACTGAGCAGTGCCCATCTAATAATTGGCATTGGTCTTTCCCTTTCCCAAATTTCTTTGGAAGCTTTTACAAATGTTCATTGAGATTGAGGCAAAAGGGGATTATACCTGATTTACAGGTAGATGAATGGAAACAAATAGACATTAAATGACTAATCTTAGAATCATAGAATAGTTTGGGTTGGAAGGGACATTTAAAGGTCATCTAGTCCAACCCCCCCTGCTGTGGGCAGGGACATCTTCAACTAGATCAGGTTGCTCAGAGCCCCATCCAACCTAATCAGGGGTCACCCAGCCAGTATAGTGGAAGCTGAATTCTGCTTGCTCCATTAATGGCTTAATAAATCTCCTTCTTAGATTCATCCAACATGATCTCTACAGCAGCAAGGGAATTTATTGGAATGTGGTTGTAGGGTAAGAGTCTTGGTGTCATGTCTAAAGAGAGGAAGAAAAGCATAGTATCTAGTTATCTTGATCTTTAGGTTTTGCTGCTCCCGCTTTTGGCAAAGCTAAGGAAGTCTTGTGTTGACTCTAGTAGCAGTAGTATCCTCTCTTAACAGGATGTTGACATAAAATAATTTAACAAATAAAGCTTCATGACTCGCTGGTTTCCTATCAACAGATGATTTCTTCTGTAGATGTGTGCGCTTCCCCAGAAGGCATTTTGTGTGTGTTTTATTTCTTGTCTATAGAATACAGTAAGTTTTATGCACAGGCACTGATTCCATTTCTTCATGATGTTGTTATGGGAACTTCAACATTTGTGCTTAATTGTGAAGCGATACTGCTTTGATGGGGGAAAAAATATATTGAGGTGAATCCAAATAGTGATGAAACAACTTCATATTTAAGTCATTTCTAGAATAGCAAATTTTATCTTCTCTTTTAGGTTGAATTTTTACCTTATGATGAGAGACCTCTTCCAGCTATCTGTAAACAGTCTGATGAAGCAATTGCATACCTTGAGCCAGAGATGACTGAAGAGTATATCAACGATACTCCGAGAAGTGGCATTACTGGGGAACCAGAACCATTAACTGAGAAGGCACTGAGGGAGGCCAGCCCTGCTATTGAAGTTTTTGGAGAAGCTTTGGTAAAGAACAACAAAATAAACACATGGATTATTGTGATCTGTGTTGAGTTGATTTGATATGCGCTCTGTCAACAAAGACCTGCTGATAGGATTTTTACATGTTCAGAGCTGTTACTTAAAAATCTGAGATTAAAATTTTACCTTGGATATATGGGTGTCTGTTTTCAACGTTTATATGATGCTGTAGCTTTTATGATTGATTACTTGATGAGCTGCTAAGCAGATAGTGTCTGGTAGACTGCTTTAGGGTACGGATCCTACCAGAATACCCATAACTTGCCACTGTCTTTTGTAGGGAGAGAAACCATTACTGTGCCTGAAATGGTTCCTTGAGCCTGACCTGTTGATCCATTTTACTCATCGTTTTTCAAAAATGCATGCTTTTAATAAAAGCCAGATTCCTGTAGGAAACCCCTGGGGTTTTCATGCTTAAGTTCATATGTTCTTTTGAGGCTGTTTCTGTATATAAATGTTGAATAAATATTGAAATGTCACTATTGACCTTCTAAGAGAGAAACTTGTTCTGTCTTCAGGTTTCAGGAGCATATTCCAAAACTTGGTCGTATCGAGAAGATGCGTTACTGGCTGTATATAAGAAGCTGATGGAAGTGTCAGTAAACACTCCAAAGGATGATTTAAAGAACATGCTGAGGGCTGCCATTTTTCTTGTAAGGAGAGCCATCAAAGACATAGTGTCTTCAGTAAGTTGTAATATGTTTGATAAGAAATGCTCCAGTGACGAACTAACAGCAAAAATTGTAGAACCGTGCGGTTAACATGCTTTAAATAATTTAAACAAATAGTTTGTAAAACTATTTTTGAGTAAGTTAAAAAAAAAAACCAAAACCCAAACCAAACCGGGAAAAAAACAAAACCAAATGAAATGTCAGCTTTTAGTTAGGATCAAGGACTGGGTGCTGTCTAGCATTCAGCAGCATGGAAAATACTGCCCTGGGCTGAGTAATGAGCTTGAGAAACAGCTGCTGATGCAGTAAAGGCATAGTGTGGTTGAGTCTTTTGGGGTTTTTTTGGTTGTTTTTTTTGTGAAGTTGAAATACAGCAATGAAGTAAGTTTCAGTTTCCAACTTGAGAGACTACAGTTAGCTTAAGGAGACTTAGGCTTCAAATAAGCCTTAAACAAGAAGAAAAGAAAAAAAAGTGAAGAGCTGTGTTACTCTTTATAAAACAAATTCTGAAGCCTTTCACCTAAGCCCTAGCAACATGTTTTCTGGAAGAGAGGTATCTGAAGTAGCTTCCCTTAAGAGTGTTACTGTAATTCTAGCTTGCTGCTGTTCTTTAGAGCTACAGAAAAGATTTACAGTATTGCCTGAAAACAGGGATCTGTGTGGTATTTTTGTTCAGTGTTTCCTTTTTCTTTTTCACTTAGGTTTTTCAGGCTTCCCTGAAACTTTTAAAAATGATCGTTACCCAATATATACCAAAACATAAACTAGGAAGACTAGAAACTTCTCATTGTGTGGAAAAAACGCTTCCAAATTTGCTGTCTAGAACAGGAGACTCTTCATCCCGTCTTCGCCTCGTGGCTTCTAACTTTATTCAGGTAGGTGCTTTTCTTCAAGTTGCGGTTTGATTTGCATTAAGAATGTCGCAGAGCTTACAGGGGGATAACATCTAATCAGACTTCAGGGCCGGAGTTTGCTGCTGTAAAGGATTGTGCCTTATATGGAAGGCGAAGTGGTAGCACCAACTTAGTATCTTTGTAGTGATTTTTCTAGCCGTGTATTGTCACCTTTGTTATGGGGGACAGTGAGGGGAGATGGCTGCTGCTGCAGATGCAAGAAGGGTGTAACACTTCCATTCTTCTTAGTTGCAAGTGATCCACAGAGATGAGAGCAAGAAGGTACAACATACTCCTCAGACTGTGTTGCGATTTGATTGCATCTTTGACAGTCAACTTTTGAAAGTCAGCTTAGCAAAAGCATAAAAAAGATGCCCGTTTTAAAAGATACAGTCCATTCCTTGCTCAGTGCTAGCAAAGAGCAGCTGTGAATAGCTGCTAGAGGATTACAGGCTCTCTTTTCCAGTAGAATTTAGAAGAAAGAACAGTAGTTCTGTGTGAAAATGTGTTAATTCAGTCCCAGGAGTGGAGCGGGTCACAGGCTCTGGGTTACTTATCCTTGCTTGCATCCACACATGGAGGGAAAAGACTTTTCTTTCGCTGTAGACGTAACTAAAATTTTAACAGCGTTACTGTGTGAAGTGGTCTGGTGTGTAACTGGAACCCCAAAGGTGACGTGTTACTTTATTACTACTGCTTGGCTTGTTTATAATAGATTTTGTAATTGAATGGGAAAGGAAATGAGAAATGGTTACAGATGTACTTTCGTAGAGGGACCTGGCCTGGAGAGAAGGAAAATGTTTCTTTTGTATCGCTCCTAATAGATGGTACACTGCCTGAATAAGCAGTTCTCTAGGGAAGGTGCCGCATATTTCTGGAAATCGGTATGTCCAAAACAGACCAGCCAACCCAGTGACAACTGCAGCTGGCCCTCAGGACGAGGGACTGCAGGACGCCATCGTCTGCTTGAGTGTCTGTCAGCTGACAGGAACTGGGAGAAGGGATGCTTCGGATTATTAAACATTCTGCTACCAGCAAAGAAATAGACATTGAGCTTTGAATAACAGCAGAATTTAGCCCTTGAGGTTCCTTGCAAAATAGAATGAGAAATTATAAAATGGCATATGTCTTCTGAAGCAGTCTTGAAATTCATCTCGATGCAATGTCAAGACTTTGTATCTTTTGTGGCACTTCTCATCTGCCTCCTTCTCATACAGTTCAGTGTAAGACTGAGTTCTTGACATTCTTCTTACAACCCAGTTCTATAACTGATCTGAGCATGTCTAACATTCTATTGATTTCTCAGTAGCTTTTTCTCTGATGCCAAAAGCAAGACTAAACATCTGTATAATCTTCTCTTTAAAGCCTTTGCAAGCGACTTCTGGCTGCTAAAGTAACAAATAAGCAGCTACTTCTTACAGAAGGCTTATTTCATTTCACTTAACTTGTTATAAGTAGCTTAGAATAACTCTACTTTGCAAAGACAGTTCGTTTTCCTCACTTAGCATTCCTATATGCACACTCACTCTCTGTACGTTTATAGGAAATGGCACTGAGTAGTGAAGTTAAACCTCTTCAGATTGTTCCCGTTCATTTGGTTCAACCATTAAAACCGAACTCCCCAACACACTTGGCAATGAGTCAAGTGGAATTAGTGGAATGCCTCCTGAAAGACATGGGAACTGAAAACTCTGGGTTTACCATCGGCAATGTCATGAAGGTAGGAGTCTGAGTTTACAGCATGTAAAGTTTTTTTCTGTTGCTGTTTTATTAGGGCTTGTCTGTCTGTTTTGGAGTGCTTGGTGAATTACTAAAGAGAATTTATGAGCCTCTCGGAGGTGACAACACACAACCGTGTGAGGAAGCAAGGTGCCAGTATGGGAAAAAGAATCACTGGGTCAAAAAGTGCTTGGAAAAACCTGTCTGTAGGAAGATTTCTCCCACTGCAGTGAAATAATTGTCTTAGACTAATAGACAAGGCCTTAAAAAACACGTGGGAAGAGAGAGGCATAATTTTTTTTTTTTCTTTTCAGTTTGCAACAGGAGCTTTGGAACACAGAGTTTATGAAGTTCGTGATGTAGCGTTGCGGATTATCTTTGATATGTACAGGAAGCACAGGGCTGCTATACTGGAATACCTTCCTCCAGATGATGCAAGCGTTCGCAAGACTGTTCTCTATAAAACACTCTTTGACGGATTTAGTAAAATAGATGGTAAACTTTCTGAAGCTGAAATTAGGGTACGTAATAAGATTGTTGAACATACATAGCTACTTTAAACGTTGCATTCAACTGAGCAATATACTGATTTCATAGCTATATTAGACATTGAATGACACACATAGCAGAGTATCTTAAGGTGTGTTGTTAACATTACTTAGTGTAGAAAACTGGTGTTCAGTTTATTACATATACTTGCTCTCGCGAATAAAGCCTACAAAGAATACAGAGATGGTACTTCTGAAATAATACACAATCATTTTGGAAAATAAGCATATACTATTTTATGCTGGCTGGCCTCAGAAGCAATAAGCACAGAGGAAATGCTATGTGTTCTTTCAGGTTAGTAGGGAGGAATCTGGGGGGGGGGAGGTGTTACTGTAGCAGACCAATCATTTAACCGAGCAGGATATTTCTTGTACTGCATTGACCGTTTGTTCTATGCTGCTGTGTTTGGCAATCTCTTCTATGTGACAGATGGTTCAAAAACTTTTGTAATTGAAAGAGTATTTCTTGACAGGCACAGAGAAAGGCAGTAACAGAAGAAGCAGAGAAACAGAAGAAGGAAGAAATAAAAGTTCTGCAAGGTCAGCTGGCAGCTCTAAAGGAGATAAAAGCAGAAGTTCAAGCTGGAAAGGTTAGGGTGTTTTGGGTTTGATTTTTTTTTTTTTTTTTTAAATCCTTTTTTCCTCAGGTATCACAGGGTTTAGATAATTAACATTACTGTTATCTCATTATAAACGAAAAAAAAGAACGAGAGAGAGAGAGAGAGATTCCATGACTGACTTTCATTCTCAGCAGTCCAGCTTAAAATCTGAGGGGTTGTTTTTCCAAACATACTCTAAAATGTGGATTCTTTTTTATAACAGTTTTGTCTGTCGTATGGTAAATTTGAGAGTGTTTCTAGAAGTCTAAGTGTTCCTCTACCAGCTAGAGTATAGGAATTGTACTGAGTGCATCAAGGCCCTTCAGAAGCATGCTGTACTGCACACCCATTAAGTTTTATATCTGAACCTTAGAAAGGTAGTCAGCTACCCCAGTGCCCAGAAGTAGGACTGTTTTTACATCCTCAGAATATTGCTGCCTCAATATCCGAGAGATTTGCTGTAGGACCAGGGGCATGAACGTTGTAATGCATTGGCTCTGCTTCTAAGCTTTTAATTGCAGAGAAAAATCAGGATATAATCTGTTCTCTTTCTCCCTGGCAAGCATCACAGTCATTAAGCAAATTTCTGACTTAAATTCCTTTGTTCAATAGGAGAAAGAATCTGATTTTCAGAAGCCAAAGCATCAAGGTAGGTAGTTTCAAATAGTATTAAGAAATGTAGAGGTATTTCAATATGTCTTTGAAACACTAGATGCTTAATGGATTATTGAATTATCTCAGTTAAAAACATGCCCAAGTGCTTCGGATCAGCTGTCTCAGCCTGCCATAGAGGTAACCATTAAGTTCACAAAAGAAAATTTACTATCAGCTAACCAGTTAATTTCTAATAAGAAATTAGTATGGCTTGGCTTGAAACCACTTTAGATTTCTCCCCAACCTGAGGCAGATCATCTACTACGTGTAAAAAATCGTCACTGACATATTTTACTGTTGTAGGTCACTAAAGCAATAGTTTTCCAACTGCCTGCAAGTACGTTGTCTTTCAGTGCTTGTTTACCGCTGTGGCAATGGAATGCTTCTGTGAGGTTTTTTTGCTGTTAAGATCCAGAGAAGCAGTATTTCTAGGCATGCACAAGATCTAATTAAAATGTGATCTTGTTTTTAATAGTTCTCTTTTGACAGGTTACCAGATAAATGAAAGCCCACAGCCTGCAGCAGCAGAGATTCCAGATGATCATTCCTCTGTTGCAAATTACTTGGATAAGTAAGTTAGATGAGCAGCTTGTAATCACCTTAAGCACTTAGTAGAACCTGCAAGCTAGTAATGTTAATAACATTTTTCCAGTAGATCACAGCTAGTACCTTGAGCATTGAAACAATGAAAAATAAAATCTCTTCTAACAGATTTGGAATTATCACCAGGCAATCCTAGATGTTGATTTTTTTAAGTTCTGGGATAGTGTGACCTTCAACTTGTTTTCTGAGTAGTTGCTTGTGGGGTGAGAAATTGCCACAGTTTAATGCTCAGCTGCCAGTATAAAATAAGGCAAAGATATATCGTAGCTTTCATGTGTATTGTAGGATAAGGGCAGAGAGAAAGCATTTGAAAATTCTGGCGCCATGAAAGCCAGTATCAGTGAGCTGTTCTCAGTGCTTTTGTGGAATTATGTCTTTCTACATGAACAAATGCTTTATAGTTGTATTTACCATAAATTATATGATAGTATCTGTTCATGCCCTATCCTAAGGTCAGCACTATATATGGAAAATAAGGTGTACCGAGACGTTAGCTATGTTTCTAACAGAAGAAACAGGGTTCATCAGTTTCACTCTGTGATGTTACTGATGTTTCTATTTTTTTTTTTCCTAGCTTATGCATTTTTTGTGGTGAAAGGGATGAATCCTTCACGGAGGAGGGATTGGATCTCCATTATTGGAAACACTGCCCTATGTTAACCAGATGTGAGCACTGCAAACAGGTGAGGCGTAAACTTTCTAGAGCAACTACAAGACATTAACTGTTGTTATTCTGGTTTTAAGGTGCTATAAGGTATTTAACACTAAGGTAGATGAATTCCGAACACAACTGTGTGATCTTAGGTAGTGCTTTTCGAAAAGAGCAGCATTATAAATTGTATCAATAACTGGAGCAAAATTTCATTTTCTCTTGGTCATTTTGGAAAGTGAGATTTAACTTCCAAAAATCACATAAGCAGGTTTTTTAATACTATCCTTATTTAGTCAGTACAGCACAAATCTTCTTGGGTGCCTCCTGCTCTGTTGCAGGTGGTGGAAATAGCAAGCCTGACAGAGCACTTGTTGACGGACTGTGATAAAAAGGACAGCTTTGGGAAATGTCAACGATGCAGTGAGGCCCTTCCAAAAGATGAGTTGCCCAAACACATTAAGAGCAAGACTTGCAATTGTGAGTAGTTTCGAACAGGAAGATTGAACTTCAAAGGTCAAGTCAGTCAGACCTTCAAATACTGTGTATCTTTGGCAAGTCAGACCGCTTCTATTTAGGTACTGCACTGTGGATTTAGAAATCTAAGTAAATCCTCGGGAGGGAACACTTTTGGAATAAATGCCTGAGTTTCCCAGTGCTTGAAATGCTTCGCTTCTATGAATGTATGTGGGGAGGATGAGTGAGGAGAGCAGAAAGCCTCTACCACATCCTTGCGGATTAAGCCCTGTCGTTCCTTTTGATCTTGTTTCGATGTAGATGATTAAACACGGGACTTCTTTGAGAGCAGTTAATGATAATAGGGTAGGAGCTGGTTTAGCCATGGGGTAGTTTTATGCTTTGTTGTGCAATTCTCCTCTTGTATTTGAAATTAGCCTGTCTTTGCAATTCTTACATTAGTTTTCTAATATTTCAGCTGCCAAACCAGAAAACGTGGCAAACCATTGCCCGTTGTGCCATGACAACTTTCCCCCGGGAGAGGAGGTGAGACTGCCTTCCGGATTGGTCTGATGTTGTTATGTCACTGGGACTGAATTTGTGTCCTCTTCTAACACTGGCTTGTACCTGACGACTTAAGAACTTGCCTGGATTGTTGCCGGGGTCTATAATGGCTGTCTCACACTCTGGGGACCATATTTGAACCTGGGTCTTCTACTCTTAAAGGTGTATATGGGAACCACAGGGCTACAGGCTATTTGGTGTTGGTCTTTCTCCTCCTGCATAGGCAGCTATACACCTTACAACTTTCCAAATTCCCAACTACTACCAGATTCTGTGAGTTCGCTTGTCAGCCCTAGGGTTTGGGGTGACGTTATGCAGCTTAAAATACTGCAGCAAGACTGAGCACATCCAGCAGGGCATCCAGGATTGAGATGTTGTTGATTTGGGTATAAGAAAAAATTGACATGAAGAAAGTAAGCAAGAACTGCTATAATTGTCAAGAGAGTTGAGATGTCCTCTCTCTAATTTCTATGTGCTGTTCCCTGTAACTGCCTAATGCTATGAAATCTCTGACATGCCAGCTTCAAAATGTGCTTTCAGCAATTGAAAATATGTATTGGTATTATATAAAAAGCAATTTGTTCAGAAAATACTTAACGCATCTGTTTCAGTCTTTTATATGAATCATCTAACACTACATTATGATCATATTTAAGTAGTTCTGCGTATGATTTAATTTTTGGAAAAAGACTATCCAGGAGGCAGCCAACAACTCTATACTGAGTATTAGATCCAGTTAAATGTCAATGGCTGATACGTAATCTATGTAATTTTCTTCCTTTCAATGGGACCATTGAGTAGTGCCTCTGTTCTCAAAAACAAGTTTTTTCCAAATCCTTTTTGCTTTGCCCAGCGTGAGGAGCTCAGAAAATATTGTAACCAAGTCTGAAACGTTTGTTGAGAAATGTACGCGTTGTTTGGATTTGGGGGTTGGTTTTGTGGTTTTTTGTGGGGTTTTTTTTCCTTGCTTCTGCCCAAATTATTCTTGTGAGTAAGAGACTTCGCAGAGCCTCCAGTTTGAAGAGGCTGTCATGTTTTCTTGTAATAGCAGCTCCTACTCCTTGGGGTTGCTGAATGCTTTAACTATTATCATAACCTTGTAGTTATCCCCACACTTTTTCAGTTTAAAATATGTATAGATGAAAAGATTTTCCATGTTGTTTGTACATTGTTTTTTCCTGATTTGAACTCAGTTGCTAATCAAGAAAATTTCAAAAACAAAATGAATGTTACTCACTCTTAATTTCTAGGATCTGGCTGGGGTTTTTTTATTGTGATGTACCTTTTACGTTATATTAAAAAAATGATATATTAATTTCTATTTCACTTAATAAGTCATAAGGTGTTCATGCTTTTATGAGTGAGCAGATTAAAATGCTGTTGCCATAAAGTCTGTATACAACTCTCATTTTCAAAACCAAAATGAATGTTACTCACTCTTAATTTCTAGGATCTGGCTGGGGTTTTTTTATTGTGATGTACCTTTTACGTTATATTAAAAAAATGATATATTAATTTCTATTTCACTTAATAAGTCATAAGGTGTTCATGCTTTTATGAGTGAGCAGATTAAAATGCTGTTGCCATAAAGTCTGTATACAACTCTCATTTTCCCCGTATTTTAAAAAGTATACATGCATACATAGCGGCTAGATAAAAGATTGGCTAATTTTGCTGGTATTGTAATATCACTTCTTTTTTTTAATTGGCTTTAGGCCTGGAAATCTCACCTAATGGGCAAAGATGGCTGTAAAATGAATCAACGGAGGTTATCCATGATAAATAAAACTCTTCTGGTGCAGCCTGGTAAGATGTTATTTTATGACAATAATGATTATGCTTTTTCCTATGTTGCCTTTACTTAAGAAAAGTATTTCATCCTCGCGAGCAAGCTGGCTCTTTTTTGCATTTGTGTAACCTAACTGATATTTCTTACGCTGGTGTAGACTACAGTATACTTAGGGAGTGAATTCTCAAAATCATTCAATAACAATCATTTCAAAACGAGGGCATTAGCTCAGTTGATTGGGGAAACTGGCATATTTGATAATTTGATCAGTTCAGGGTTTTTTTCTGCATAGTAGTATGACTGTGAATAGAACAGTCAGCAGTGATACTAAACAGTTAACATTCTGGAAAGCTCCTGAACGCTGACACAGAGAACCGAGAGCCTGATTTAGCTTTTAATGTCCAATCAGAGGATGCTAATCTAATCCTAATTACAAGATGAATTGAATAGTTAGTGCTGTGTACTGCTTTTCCTTTTCAATTCAGACCCAGGAGCTAGGCGGAATTTATGATTGTGCAGCTTCTTCACCAGCAAAGAGATACTGATGTCAGGTGGTTGGGTTTTTTTAAGTCATCCGTCTTTATGAAGCACACGCAAAATCCTTTTATTTCCTGAACACAGAAGTTAAACAAACAAGCTGTTTTCACTGCCTGCAGCACCAAAACTCTTTGGAACTTTGCTCTTCCTACTTGCTAATGAGAATGATAGTTAGTTTGCCACTGCTTAGAATTTGGAAACATAGAAGGAACTTAAATCCTGCCTGGATACAGCTAAAGCTCCTGACCAGTTTCCTAGAGATAAGAAAGGAACCCTGGCCATTTAGTCCTACCACTCCTGGTATGAAATGCTCCTCAGACTGGATGCCTGCCAACTTGTAGTTGCTAATATCAGTCATTCAGACTTAATATATCATGAGAATCAAAATGGGAGATAAAATTCAAGACTGGGACTAGATGTGCTTGCAATAATGATCTGTATTTTCTCTTCACAGGCAAAATAGGTGGCCAGTATTTAAGGAAACCAGGTCCTTCAGGAGCAAAAGCTCGACCTCCCTCTATAGGAAGCAAGATCCCAACCCCAAGAGGGGGCCCAAATAAAAGCACTGGCAAAACGTACTCAAAGCGATGACAGGACAAGTATTTTTTCCTTCGTCTTAATAACTGGGCATATAGTTGTTAATAGTTAATTTAACAATGGTGGGCAACTCATATCATCTTTTTCGTTTGACTACATGGGGCTGTTTATCAGCCTTGAGCAGTACTTGCCTAGTCTGATAACTGCGGTACATAACTTTTGTGTTAGCTGTCTGTGCAGCACTGTGGTTTTCTCCTAGAAATGCTCATGTTAGAAATACGCACGTGTTCTGGGACAGATCTAGCCTGCCACATTCCCTGTATGGCACAAGGAAGGCTGCACGTTGGTCTTTGACCGGTTCCTCATATTAAAACAACTTCCCAGTGAGTATGGAGTTAACGTGGCCGCACTGGGTAGCTGCTGTGACAGTCAGCACAGGGGCTGTGCCCTGGTCAGTGGATTACCTGGGGCTGTCGTTCTAACAGTCTGGTTTTGAGATCCAGTAAGGGATTTCCTTAAGATTCAAAAGCCACAGTCATTTGTGTTTTGGCTTTCTTTTGGGGAAGAGCAAGAAACCTACCAAGCAGAAATTGTACTAGACTTTCAGGACAGAGCTGAAAAGTGTTTGTTCTTTTGATCTAAGTGTGACACTTGTTTGCAATTACACGTTCTGAAAGCTTGGGAAGTAATACCTGTATTAGCTGACTTCACCACCTGGTCGCTTCAATGTAATAATCACAGAATATATTGCTAATAGTTTTCTGCCAAAAGTGACTTTATAACATGCTGAAAGTAATAGTGTCGATAATTTTTGTTTGTCTTGCCATCAGATGCTTGTGGTAGACAAATAGGTCACAAGTTAAACTGTGTGTACTGGTTGGCTAGGAGGCAGGCTGCCTGTGTGTATTTCTGCGTTACATCGGTGCATTTACAGAGAATCCATCATAATTAGACTTGAGGAAACACCATGGAAAATACGGATATACAATGAGCAAAATAGGCTTGTTGCAGTCGCAGAGGTTCCTCTGATGTGATGATGATGTTGGTATCTTAGCAATACCATCGTTCATCTGCTACATCGTGCAGCTGGCAGAAGGTGAAATGAAAAATGCGTGCACGTGTAGGAGGAAATACACTTTAGGCTATACGAAACGTGTATCTCAGTTATCTGAAAGACCTCTATGATCCTGTATAGATAAACTCTTGGAACAATTAATGGGTAAAATGACAATTCCATAAAGCAAAATTCTTCCTCACGTGTTTGCTAGAAGAAAAAAAAAAAAGGGGGGGGGGTAGAAATTGCAACGTAGTCGAGGAAGGCTCTGGGGTTTGTTTTTTCCACTGCAAATCCTGTAGTGTGGATTTATTTGCTTCAGTTAGGGCGTGTTTACCAGTAGGGTCAGGAATTGGAAAGCTTTTTCAGTTGTCCACTCCTCCAGTACAATGAAGGAAACCAAAGAATCATGCCATTCTTTGGTGATTGGTTTAGCCACTGTGCCAGGACCTAGTGTATTTTGATAGTAAGAAAGACACTATTAGTGTGTTTACGACAGCTGCCTTTTCCTTCCATGTGTTTGTCACAGTAAACTTTGTCAGCTAAAATGGGGCAAACTTCTAGCCATTGTGAAAGCTTACAAGTCTATTTATTTGTGCTAGGCTCTAAAACTCTTGGTTCCTTCATTGGAAATGGGAACTGTACTTTTTTCTAAAACTGACTGGTATCCTTGAGTACTTCCTAAGTCAGCTGAAAGGTCTAATTGACCTTGCAGGGAAAGGAATTGGATCAGGGCCATTAGAAAATGTTTCCACTCATTTTTAAAACTCTTGGAAACATTATTTTGACAGATAACTTTGCTCTCCTTACTAATACCGGTGTCCGTAATTTTATGAGTTCAAGCACGTTAATAATGTCGAGTGAAATGGATGTCTCTTCCTTGGGTCGGCCAAGGCTCTAGGAGTAACACAAGCCGTGCATGGTGAGCAGTGGTTTGGCTGCGGAAGCCTGGCCTTTACATATATTTCAGGTTTAAAGGCAGTAGAGCAGTACCCAAAGCACTACCGAACACCAAGAATTAGCACCAAATAAAAAAGCTAAAGGGCTGGTTGGATGTTGCCATATGACATGCCGTTACGTAGGCAGTAACATGAAATAGCTGTTGGGCGCCGCCTCTCGCTGTGCGCTCAGTGCCTTATTAGTCCGCTTGACAAGAGGATTAAGCTAAACCACAGGAGTCCCATTCGGTACGTAATAAGAGCGTGTATCGATGGAGCTACTGTAAAAATTAAAGTTGTGCTTTAAAAATCTCACCATTAATTCTGAAATATATCCCCAAGCAACGGCCCCTTAAAGAAAAGAAAAAAATCTTAGTGGGGCCCTGAAAAGCTTGAATTAATAAATTTAGACCTTTTTTCCTGCTTTAGTGTACATTCTCTCAGCTCACTTCTAAATCCAGCTCTAATGCTGAGTTTCTCTAGTTAGATCTTGATTAAAATAAACATCCGTAGACTACAGCGTGTGACCATTTAATAGCTTCAAAGAGAACAAATTCTATTAAGACACAATGTATGAAGCTTTGTACCTCAAGCAACAATCCTAACATTTCGACTCGTAACGCTTAGGCAATTGCTTTCCAGGATAGAATTAACTGGTCCCACGTCGATGTACCCACAGCTACAAGAATGACTGATCGTGGTAATATAAGTAGAAGTTTTGGGGGTTGGGGTTTTTTGCTACCAGGGAGTGAATTTGTGGTATTGTTCTGTATATGCTGCACTGGTTTTGCAATATGCAGGTTTTATAGTTTGCGTGCAGCCTATCTACAAGCTCTTGAACTTTACAGGTAGATCGGTGCGCTTGTATTTTGAGAGTCTTTCTATGAATGGTTTCTTTAACTCTTCCAAATATCTATATTAATAAATATACATATGTTAGGAATATATATATATTTACAAATACATACGTATTTTGATTTCTACTTTAGTGACACAGGTTCCTATGCGAGAGCCCGATTCCTTATGCAAGCAAAATAACCATTGATTTCGCTCAGAGATTAGCATGTGCAACGGACCACAGGCTCACGAGCTGTTGCCCAGAGCATTTTTTCCTTTTGAACGTAAAACAACCAAACCAAAACAAATAAAAAAACCCCCAAAACCATGACCCCACAAACACTGTTAATTATAGTGGGGGTTGTATTTCCCGGTGGTGACCGATCTGCATAGCAGAAAAGGTGGGAGCTACGTAAGACGCTTTTACGGACCTTCTCTTTGGAGGCATTTTTCCCTCAGGTAGCACTTGTCTCTTACGTTTGCGTATGGGGACGCTTTCCTGCTGTTCTGTGCTCAGGCCGCCTGTCTCCCCGTGCAGTTGTTGGGGCTCCAGAGCGAGCACAGTAACTGCTTTTCTCTTTGCTCCGTCGTAGAGCACAGTAATTATGCCTTAGGGAGCCGTGCAATAACTCTCGGCAGCTTTTTACTGCAGGAAGTTGTCACGTAGGAGATTCCTGGCTCTTCCCTGTCCTTACCACCCACCTTACTTACCTAAGGAGCAAGAGAAGCGCATTACAGAGCCTTCCGTCAAACAGCTTTTAAAAGACAAATGCATGGGCTTGGGCACACCGGCTTAGGGCTTTGCAATTGTTTTTCAAATGCGGAATAGCTCTTTAGCAAAATTTTAAAGAAATCATTTAAATATTTCAGAGTGCATAACATTCACTGAGATTGCTGGCTGTCTTTAGACTAAAAAAATGCACTTCTGAAGTGAGGTATAAAGGTGATATTAACTACTCAATGGTACGAATTGGAAACAACTTAGAAGTGAGGAAATGGAAATTTTTTAGGATGTGAAAGGAGCATCTTTGAGCACAGTAGTACCACCAATGTAATTTTTAAAGGATGATTTCGCTGGGCTGCTTCCTTTCACTTAGTAAACAACCTGTGTTTTCTGCAGTGGTAAAATAAACACTGGTGTGAAAAACACAGTGGAGTTTGTTCCTGTGCCATGAAGTCTCCAGCAAAATACTCCAGAGCAAAACTGTTGCACAGGTGCAGGGTCTGGCTAACAGAAGGAAGTTCTCCAAACTGTTGGGCTGGAAATCTTAAACCAGCAATCACGGTGCATCATTGTTAAAGGACGAACAGACTGTCATCCCTGTCTCATGGGCTTTTTTCTATCCCATCTCTTTCTCCGTACTGTACCTGAATGTCAACCAAGTTGTTTTCGTCCATCTGAACTGCAGAGACGACTCAAGAGCAGCCAGCGTCCCTGCGTGCAGGAATTTGTCTGATCTCAAGCGACTGCTTGGAGTTCCACCGCGCCAAGAGAGCATTTATATAGATTATGCGGTTCCCAAGTACTGGATAAGCAGATAAGGTATTTAAATCCTAGAGACGTTATCGCTATCACTTCAAGAGAAAAAGTCACTTATGTTAAACATGTGAGTTACTTTCATCGCACTTATTTAATAAATTTGTTTAGCGAGTTTGGACGGTACCTCTGCGTTTTCAAGCTGTTACAACAGAAATCAGTACTGGGTGGGGCGAGAGTGTGGCTGCAGAAGCAATGCCACGGCAGCACCTCAGTTATGTCTGTACTGCAGCGCTACAGCAAACGCGGTGCGCCGTAGCGATGTGAGCCCCTGCTTTTGCCCTGCAGATACCGCTTGCCGCATCGAGGGGCAGAGCGCGCCGCGGGCCGGCTCCTCGTTTCTTTGGAGGGGGAGGCGGGATCGCGGTCGCCGGCCCCGGCCCGCTGGGGTC